CCCCCGTTGCATCACGCGCGCCCGGCCCGGGGCTGCTTCTGATTACTGCGAGGGGCTGGACGCGCTGGGAGCCGCCGGCCGGGCCTGGGCTGGAGACTGGGCTGGAGACTGAGCGCCCGGCGAGCCCTGGAACCGCGTTAGGGGGACTTCCACCCAGGGCCTGCGTGTTGCTTTACATGGGGACGGCATCTCCACCCCCCACCGGAAGCCCTTCACACCTTCCCACCACCCACGGATCTCGCAAATCCTGGGCCCTTGCTGCAGCTGGGACCATTTGAACCTTAGCGGCCTCAAATGCAAACCCACAGAGACACCAATTGACAGGTCTTTCTTTCACTGCCTTGAAACCTGCCCCGAAAATGGCCCTGCACCATTTTCCCCCACGAAAACATCATTTTAAAGGTAATTCCACATTGGGCTTGCCGAGACAGACATACTAGTAACTCAGGCCTTTTTTTAATCATTAACTTATACAGCCTCATAATCCCCTTAAAATGATCTTTAAATGAATGTAGAACTGAGTAGCGTGCCAGTGGAGTCCAATTCAACACAGCCAGGCTGACTGGACTCTGACATGGCAGCTAAAGAAAGAAACACCAGAAAACTTTCACCATATTTAGCAATCTTACGACATCAGGGTACAAAAAAGATCATGGGAGAAGCCACTGCCTTAATCAACTTCGCAAGTGTCTAAAATACTGCACAAGCTCATTACCAACCAGCCCGGAGCCTGGCTGTTGGGATGGATAATGAGGCTGGCACGGACGTTAACATACGGTGTCCTTGGAAAAAGCTAGGAATGCGTCAGTATCTCAGAGCTGCAATGTCCAAGAATCACAAGTAATAATTTGAGAATCCCAAAGATGTTTGTTTACGTTGGCTATTATTGTAAAATAGTCGAAGTATAACATCATGAACCAAAATAGTGTCAAAACAAAATCTGTTCCACTGTGGCACGTATGTGACAGAAACACATGCACACAAAGTACATCAAAAGGCTCGAACTGTGGGGGACTTGAGTATTAAATCATTTCCAGACTTAATATCAGAGGAGACGTTGCTAATTGAACAGTCAGGAACAGAGATGCAGGCAGTATTTGCAAGACCAGGCCCTCAGCAGATTTCTCTGCTGGTCAGGAAACCATCCACCTCCATCCTCCAGAACAACTAGCTGGATTTTTCTGAAAGTGACATCCACCTCAGCACCAGCAACTCTGCCTCCCTAAAGAGAAGCCTTGGAGCAGACAGAAGGCTGGCCCGCCAGCTGCGGAATTAATCATTAATTGAAGGAAAAAATACTGTTTCCGCATTATTAAGCTTTGCTTTTTCTCCAGTTCTGCCTTTTCCTTTTTTTTTTTTTTTTTTTAATGCACAGGAGATGAAGACTGGGACAAAAAATAAGATACTTTAAAAAATTCTATTTTCTCAGACTTTCCAGTTGATTGTATTCTAGAGAAGTATGATTTTCAAAACACAACAACTAATTTACTGTGGTCTTCGGTTAAACTGAAATTGTGTGAATTAACTGAAAAGTATTTGAGTAAATAGCAGCAAACTTCTTTTTTTAATTTAGACTGCAGGAATGAGTTCTTAAAGATTAAAAAAAACAACAAAGAAAAAAAACTGAAGCATCTAGCACTACTGCTCAAAAGATTGATACACGACAAAATTTTTCTGTTTAAATAGTGTGAAAGTGTCCGTCAATGGCTCGGGCCACCTACCTGTCACAAAGCTTTAAAAATACTGTAGGTGCTGGAATGGGACACCCGAAATCACGATTTGTGCATAATTAATCACATCGCTTTGCCACCTACCCTGCAGGGCACAGACCCCAGCCTTCAGGGCAGTGTACACAGCTTCAAGATGCAAATTCTCCTAATGACTTCCGATTAGTAGGATCATTATAATAGTTCTGCCTTGTTCTAGAACAGGAACCCTGCAAGCGTCCTGCCTCTCAGAGCTCCTTAGCGATCGGCACGGCTTCCAATAAGTATGCACTCATTTTACTGAGTTTACAATAACGCCTCCCGCGTTGCTCCGGGTTGCAAGATCCCACACTAAACCTGTCGTTGAATGCGCGCGTAGGTGTTGCTTTTTTTTTTTTTTTTCTTTTTCACGTAGCTTTTCCTTCTCTTAAGAGACCGCACTCTCTACAAACGTCACATGTCAATGGCAAACTTATTTGCGTTTTCACTTTCTGCAGAAATGCTTTCTATCTTGATGACATTCCCTGGGTCGCAGTGAACTGTGGCTTTCCCTCTAACGTGAAGAACTTGCCCCATCGCTGCGATTTTGGGACTGCTGAAAGCTCCAAGGTGTCGGAGCACACCCTAGGGCGAGGGTCCTGCCTGGCAGTTGGATTCAGAATTAAGATGCACATTTAAATTCCCGGGGTCACCCTCCCCCACCCTTTCACTCTCCTCCCCCTCCCCTTCACTCCTCCCTTCCCCTCGTCCCCCCCTTCCCCCTCCCGCCCCGCGCTTACTGTACTCTATTTACCACCCCAGCTGGGCTCGCGCCCGCCCCGCCCACCCCGCGGGGATTGGCTGCGAACGCGGAAGAACTGAGCGCTCGCTCCTCGCCCTCGCCTGCCAATGGGGCGCCCGCCCGGCCTGATGGACGCGCCACCTCCACCAATGGGAACGCAGGGAAGCCGGTTCGTGTGGCCCCGGCGAATGCCGATAAAAGCCGCCCCGCCGCGCTCCCGGCTTCATTCTGAACCCATCCTGGTGCCCAGCGGTGGAAGCTCCGTAGGCGGCGGCGGCCTGAGCTCCAGGGCAGCCCGCTCCCTCCCGGTCTCTCCTTCCTCTCGCGGTCAGCATGAAAGCCTTCAGTCCAGTAAGGTCCGTTAGGAAAAACAGCCTTTCGGACCACAGCCTGGGCATCTCCCGGAGCAAAACCCCGGTGGACGACCCGATGAGCCTGCTGTACAACATGAACGACTGCTACTCCAAGCTCAAGGAGCTGGTGCCGAGCATCCCCCAGAACAAGAAGGTGAGCAAGATGGAAATCCTGCAGCACGTCATCGACTACATTTTGGACCTGCAGCTCGCCCTGGACTCGCACCCCACTATCGTCACCCTGCACCACCAGCGACCCGGGCAGAGCCAGGCGTCCAGGACGCCGCTCACCACCCTGAACACGGACATCAGCATCCTGTCCTTGCAGGTAAGAGCCGCTCTCGGGGCCACGTCCGCTGCCGCGCACCCCGGCGATCGCCTGGGCTGCCACGAGCAGACCCATTGTCGAGACGGCTGCGGTCGGTGACTTACAGAGGAGCTAATTAACTTTATTTTTCTTAAAATCTGCTGTAGATTGAGCCGTGCGTGAAATTGCTTATAAGTTGTGACGTTAGTGTGTCTGTCTTTGATCTGAACTGTGGCGTGAACGTGGTTAGTGGAACTTAGCGTTGCGCGGACGGACGACTTTTGAGAGAGGTGCGCTGTCCCCGCGAGATCGTCTAACACGGTGCCTTTTATCCCCTTTTTCTCGCAGGCTTCCGAATTCCCTTCCGAGTTAATGTCAAATGACAGCAAAGCGCTCTGTGGCTGAATAAATGGTGAGTGTTTGCTTGTGGCTCCCGGTGGTTAAACTGCCCCTTGGAGTGTGTGCGCGGGCTCGTGTGTGTCTTTTCGTGTGTGCAGGTATTTGTGTATCTGTAAAAAATTTTGGTTTAATAAACGAACGTGTACCTCAATGTATGGCAGGTAGTACTTGGCTTACGTGTGCTAGACAGGGAAGGGGCTTCCAGCTCTGGTTACTCAAGATCACACGTCATTTTCCTTTAAAAAGAAAAAAGAGAAAGATGCCCATAAGTTCCTACGAGGTTGGCCGGGGAAAGTGTGTTGCTTCTGTCGAATGTAATGCCCTGGCCGCTTTCTGGTGTGGCTCTGGTACTACGAGGTACTAACCTCCGCGTAATTAATCTTATCGCCACAAATTCCACAGGGATCCTCCTTCCCCAAAACTGTAACCCTCTGGGATCCGGCGGGGCGAGCATGGCGACCCTGTGCCTCAGCCCCTGTGATGTGGGATTCCGACTTCCCTATCTGTTAACTAAAGGGCTGTTTTCAATCAAATAATCCTCACAAGAAGCAGACTGGCGCCTGTGAGCGCTGCTGCTGGGGATCCAAGTAAGAGATTGCGTCGGGAAGTTTTTCCCTGGAGCCTCTGCTATTTTAATGTTTAATGTGCGCTGTCGAGGCCGACTGCGTGTGTTGCATCTGGACGCCAGGGTTTGCCCAATCTTTTGAGTGTTTGGTTAAATGTTAAAACTGGCTTCCTCTGGCGCTGGGCTGCCCGCCTCTGCCCTTAGGTTATGTTCCCCTAACTTGCCTTTCTCTCTCGATCTTTTGCAGGTGTTTGTGACTTTTTTTTTTTTCTTTGCACAATAACAACAAATCCACGGGAACTTATTTTTCAACCATTTCACAAGGAAGACAGCAAGTTGAATGGACCTTTTTAAAAAATGGAAGCAAAACTAAGAAGGATCAGATCATCTTCCCCAGAGTGTTTCTGACCTGGACTGTGATATTAGTTATTTATGAAAAAGACTTTTAATGCCCTTTCTGCAGTTGGAAGGTTTCTTTATATACTATTCCCACCATGGGGAGCGAAAACGTTAAAATCACAAGGAATTGCCCAATTTAAGCAGACTTTGCCTTTTTTCAAAGGTGGAGCGTGAATACCAGAAGGATCCAGTATTCAGTTACTTAAATGAAGTCTTTTGGTCAGAAATTACCTTTTGACGCAAGCCTACTGAATGCTGTGTATATATTTATATATAAATATATATATATATATTGAGTGAAACCTTGTGAACTCTTTAATTAGAGTTTTCTTGTATAGTGGCAGAGATGTATATTTCTGCATACAAAGTGTAATGATGTACTTATTCATGCTAAACTTTTTATAAAAGTTTAGTTGTAAACTTAACCCTTTTATACAAAATAAATCAAGTGTGTTTATTGAATGGTGATTGCCTGCTTTATTTCAGAGGACCAGTGCTTTGATTTTTATTAATGCTATGTTATAACTGAACCCAAGTCAATACAAGTTCAAATTTATGTAGACTGTATAAGATTATAATAAAACATGTCTGAAGTCAACACCTGAATTCTGAATGATTTTTCAGATCGCTCTCTCCCTCACTTGTCTCTCTCCATTTCTTTTAACCCTGTCTTGGTCCCTCTAAGCCTTGGAGGTTGTGTGCAGACAGTCTTGTCTTATCAGACGTGTGGGCAGGGCCGGGAAGATTATAAACAGAAGTTTCCCTGAGTCCAGGGACAATTAGGTCTGTGCCTTGCCGCTCAGTTTTAAATCAAGGAGGAGCAGCCGTGGCCTTGACTCCTAGGAGTTAGCTCATTCAAAACGTGGAGTCTAGGAAGCACTACCTGCATGAGCAGGTGCTTAAAACACTTCTGGAGTAAATGAAACTTAATCAGAAGAGAAACGGGCTCCATAGAATTCACATAAGATTTAGGGGAAGGGCAAAGAGACCCTTCTCCGTGTCACACTTTGCTTCTAGCTCAGCCTGGCAGCTTCCCCTGCATCTCCTCCACCTGTAGGTCCGCCAGCCTCAGGGAGACAGGGCTTGGGCCTGGCCCACTTTCCAGCACAGGTGGCTATTAAAGCACCCTTCACCCTTGACTGCGCCCTTGCCCTGCCCAAGGAAGGACAGCAGGGAGGGAGAGGAGAAAGGCCTTTCAAGTCACAGGAAAATATCAACGGCACCGCAGCAATATTTAGGTCCTGCTTTAAAATGCATAGCTAACACGTAAGTCTTGACAATTCACATGCATACGTATATTCTCATGTTGGAAAGACGGCTTCTCTAGGTGTGGGAGGTTCTGGAAGGCCGGTCAGCGTGTGTGGGTCCTGGACAAGGAAGCGGGGAGGGCAGGCGGGCGGGATAGGTGTCTCACCTGGGGCCTCCCGCCCAGCAGGTGTTTGGGAGGCGCCACCGCGTCTGCCCTGGCGGCGGCGGGGCTTCCGGCCGTGACGCGGGATCCATCACGAGAGCGCGGGGCGGGGGT